CTACCATTTAGATGCTTGCTCATGTTTCGCAAGCAGCGGCTGCGTGAACCAAATTTGGCGCGACAGGCATCTGCCACCGCGACTGTTTTGATGCCTTTTTTTTTTTTCCGCGCAAATTTTCCGATCTGATGGCGCGGTCCCTGTGCTGACAACACGGGCTGCGCGATGGCGGCAATGGCCCTCTCGGGCAGCGGGGGCAGGGAGCTGCCAGCACACGTCGGCCAAAACTTCGTGCAGCTCGGGCGCTTCCGCAACTGCAAGGAACCCCGACCATCTCGCGACCCACGCGGACTGCGCTGCGGGCCGGATGGGCGCGGCAGCGGAAGATGCTGTGGCACGCGAGCAGGCTCAGGCGAGTGGCGGCTTCGGCTCCATAACGGCCCCCGACGTCGACCCCAACGACCAGAAGGAGCGCCCAGCCGGACTGGACCTCGACAAGCGCATGCGCGTGAAGCGACAGCCAGGGGTAATCGCAACCGGCGCAGCAAGACGATTCAGAACTGTGACGGGGGAAGGCTCAACTCAGAGGAGGTCGGGAGGACCGTGCGTGCACGTGCCGCGTGCGGCCCGGCCTGCGACAGCAGCAACGCACGACAGGCAGCATCAAGGTGACGCTCGTATCCGGCCGATCCCCGAATTCCCGATCAGAAAGGGCTGCTTGATCGGCCTGTATGGCCCCCCAGTCACGTGATACATATGTTGCTGCGGAGGCGCGCCACCGCATGCTGCGCTGCAGCGAGTGGCGCAGGGGCGTCGGAACGGCCGGTCTTGTGCCAAGCGCGCGGCGTCATGCGGCGCGCGAGCGCGGATGGAAGGAAGGCAGTCAGTCTAGGAGGCCCACTAGGCTGCTGCCGCATGCTGTCGCTCGCGGACGCCACGGCCGACCGCAAGCCAAGTCCGCCAAAGCGAAGGGGCAGGTGGAGAACCGCCTCGACTGTTCGGGCAGGGGTTGGTCTGGCTCCTGTGACAAAACGGTGGCCAGCGTGTCATGACCCGGGCAAAGCCGCTTGTTGCGCCCAGCGGGATCATGCGCAAGGGGTAATTGGTTGACTTCAGGAAAAAAAAAAAAAAGAACCACGCCGCATCACGCGGCCCGCAGGTCTGGCAATGCCGGGAGGTGGTGGAGCAGCTCGTCCTGCGCGTTTGCTGCGCAGTGCTTGCTGCACTAGGGTCTCGCTCCCAATTGAGGCGCCTAGAACCATGATGCCTTGCTCGGTCGGGGGCGAAGACCATGCGACAGTCCACAATGGGCCCCCGCTGGTTGTGTGGAGGTGGTCAATGCCAGGCAAGGCGGTTCCTCGACTGCCGCCTTCCAGACGCGTGTCTTCCCAGCATTTCGGCGGATGCGCGCATGGTGCAAGAGGGCCTCCTGGAGTGTGGCGTGGACAGTCGCAACGCGCTCAGGAGGCGCGGCAACGTAGGTGTCGTCCAAGAAGGCGAACAACGCTTCGCCGGCCCGCAGTTCGGCTGCAGCAGCGTGCAAAACCGGGTGTGCTGCCAGAGAGTACAACGCCGGCACAAGGGGGTCCCCCGTTCCCCCCCCCTCGCCTTGCACTACGCGCGGCCATCAGTGTCCAGCCACGCGTCCAAGCATGGCACCTGTTCCGTGCCAGGGTGTGCGCGGGACATTGCAGAAGGGCATGTTCCAGCGAGTCGAAGCAAAGGGAACAGAAACGACACGGCGTGCTGAGGCATGTGTTGCAATGACGAGCGGAATGCCCATCGACAAAATCATGATGGCCACACCGAGCAAATGCCCAACATTGCGCATGATGAGCATGAGTGTTGTGACCATATACAACAGGATGCAAGCGTGGCACAAGTTACCAAATAAGGTACTGATGCAAGCTTTCCGTAGCCTCTCGCAAACCGCAAGAATTGTTCGCACGAAGCCTGTCCGTTGAGATCTGGCAGGCATGTCCCAACCACCGCCTGAATACACCGTGTGCGCATCCAGAATCCCCCAATCCGCAGCATGCGGCACACATGCGGCCCCAAGTTCGCTTGCGATGTATGTAACCCATGCCAAAGGTTGATGGGAGGCTAGATGCGCAAAGTTCTCCCTGAACCACTAAACTGGGAGAACCACGTGGCCAGCAAAGCAGGCGGCGCCCCCATTCATGAATACGTCTATGGAAGCATGCTATTTGCAGGCCCGCTGGGATTCGCCCCAACCGAAAAATAACGGAAGGGCGCAAGTATGGTTGACAAATGCGCTCCACGAAGGAAGGTGGCATGTTGGCCGAGCATATCCAATACAAACAAGCGGCCTTCTTGCGCTCACCACGCCTAAGGAACTCACCAACGTGAAGGTTCCACAACGACCGCATGGTGACATCTAATTGAGTGTGGCTTCGCACGCGCGGCAAATAAACGTCGCCAACATGAAAGCTCTGTGCGTTAGCATGGCCGTGCCCAAACACCATGACGGCGGACTTGGTGGGGCCCACACTGAAATGAAAACGCCACGCAGTTGCCCAGCTATGCGTCGCAATGGCATTATCATTTAAGATGACCAGATGACCAGAGTACAATAACATGTGGACTCGCCTTTCAATGCTGTCAGAGCCACACGGAACAGCAACAGCAAGAACAAAAACAACAACAAAAGCAACAGCAGCAGCAGCAATAACAACAACAGCAGCAACAACAGCAACAACAACAGCAACAACAATAACAACATCAGCAACAGCAGCAACAGCAACAACAGCAACAACAGCAACGACAACAACGACAACAACAACAACAACAGCAACAACAGCAACAACAGCAACAACAACAGCAACAACAACAACAACAACAGGCATGCAAAGTATGAAGTGACCCACTAGACACTCACATCCAGTAGCGTGTTGCCAGGCACTACTGTGACAGCGGCGCAATGGGTGAATATCTGGCTTGGTCTGGCTCGCGTTCAACAAGCTAGAATCGCATGTCCTGCGTAATTGCATGAAGAACAACTGGCCAAGTTGACAAGCTTTTTGGTTTCCGCTTTGACCGGTAGGTGTGCCGTTATATAAGTTATCATTTATCAAACTAGCAGCTTTTCCAATACGCAAACTTCGTGGTCCAGCTTCTGAAGATTGTGACATCGGACCGGAAGATGAAAGCTCAAATGATCTGAAAGTTATCAGGCATGTGTTCTCGGGCAATGCCTGGCAGGTATTTTAGTCAATCGTTCTTGGTAGATGTACTAAGAGAGCTCGAAGGGGGTGCACTTCCAATATCGTCCAATGGTCCTTGCTGTGAAGCTGCACTTCACGGCAGTGGAGTGTCGGATGTGTCGGTCAGTTGGGGGCCGTCCGTTTACGGCGGCAGTGGCATTCGCGGGGGTCTTGACTGAAGGCGGAGGTGTTGGAGTTGCTGCATGCGTGATAGCGGTAGGATTAGAAGGCCTGCAAGCAATTTTTACGCGTATTGCGCAGAGAGCGACGGCTTCGTGCTTCGGTTTATTGAGAGGGGCGCATTCGCCAATCTGGAGCGAGAAGCACATGTTTGAGACTGGCCCAGGCATGGCTCTAGGCAGTTGGGTTGGCCAAATTTCTCGATGTTTTTTTACAGCCGTTTCTGCTCCAGACGCCTTCTAGCTGCAAGCCATACGAGCTGCTTCTCAGAATTTTCCACCATAACACGGACAAAAAGTCACTGACTTGCGTGTGTTGGGACCATTGCACATGCGTGATGCCATTTCAAAACAAGCACAGCATACACCTGTAACCGGCCACTCTACAAGTTCAGCCTAAAGGGTGAATCACAGTGCCCTCAGATTGCCGAAGACATGTCCTGGCTGCAGTCTCGGATGTACTTCTAGTGCATTGCTGGCTGACATTCATTTCAGTGATGCCGCCTGTTTCCAGTGTGCGGGCAGCTTGGATTACGTTCCCAGGTACGCAGGCAAGCCTCCAGAATGGGAGGTGTGCTGGGACTTCTCAAGTCGTGCCGCGCTTTGCATTTCTAGAGTCACAGTCCCCGTGCATGCTTGGGGGCTGATGGTGAGGGAGCATGGGCACCAAGGGTCAAGGGGCAGCTACGAGGCGAAAAATTAGACCACCTGATTCTTAAGCTTGCATTCTTGCGAACACCAGCTCCCACCACATTCAATTGCAATCATGGATGCTCAACGAGCCATACGGTTCATCCGCTTAAGAATTACATTTGGAAAACACCGGGTGGCTGGAGCAGACTTGCACTTCTCTTTGAATGTGTTCGTGAGGCCACAAGCAAGGCAGCACGTGGACCGAAGGGCCTTACGTGGAGGCCATGGGAATGCTTGCTGGAGCTTTGGCCGTTGGCATTTTGCCAAATGTTGCTGAGAGCCCGTAGTTTTTCATGATGTGGCTTTGATGCAATTCAATGCAAGAGGCGCAGATGGTTGAAGCCGTCGATTACCACGCGTGGGCGCAAAGTCAGCAGCCTTGGTGGCCGCAGACACAGCCGCAGTTCTGGCCGGCCCTAGGCTCAGATTACATCTTGATGTCTTGACAGCTTTCTGGATCCAACGCTCACCACACCACTGACACCAGTGCGTCAGTCCTCGGACCGGTATGTCTAGTGCAAAATCTGGGTGCAAGATGAGGACCCATCGTGGCAATATAATATGCCCCAGCTGCTGCAGATGCAGGCGCAGTCTTGTTTTCTCCAAAGAACGGTGGGGATTCTTCAGCTGGTGGTCTGGTTTGTTGTAGACCCCAGCCAACGGCCGTTCCTGGATCCGCCGCGCAGCTGTTCACTCCATAATAACAAGGTTCGTGCTCAATCCAACACTCCGAGTTAGCCCAGTGTTCGTAGAGATGTCCCGCAGCTTTTCATGGCCAATATGCAAGGGGTGTTGCAGATCACGACACGCAAACCTGAATTTACTCAGGTATAAGCTGATGCCGATCTTTTACTGCGTCTGGTTGGCAGCACACGCCTCTAAATGCCCACTTTGCGACTTAAGCAATAGGAATTCCCTTGGCAATTCTACATCCAGCAGATGTTTGCAGAGCTCAGCTTCTTGCAGCATGGGACTTGACAAATGAAGTGCACCGCCATGCGCCATCCACAGGGGTATTCATGAGTGAATGCTTCGGGTTCACCAAGTTCTTGCAGGCATCAGTAGGCAGCAGCTATTCGGCAGCTGTTCAAGAAGCAGACACAATCGTGAGGGCCCGTGCTAATCGATTTACTTGTACCACACGTGCGTGACACGTCAGAACTTGAATTTCTGAGCCATAACTGAGGCTTTGCCACCATCTTTGGAAAAGCGGCTGCAGGAATTGAAAAGCATGGCCCCCGGCATCCTTTTGCATGATTGGCTTTGGACATGTTATGCACACCCTCCAGAGGCAACAAGGCAGCAACAAAGCCGGCCGCCCCTCCACCTCCTGACAGGGAGCATCATGGTTCACGTCCGACTGCAACAAAGCTGCCGTTCTTCTTCCCCCACCTCGCAGGAGTTTGAGGGAAGCGTCAAGTCGCTAAGTGACAGGCACTGGAGTCTCCTCCTTTGGAGCTGTTCTAACCGGGGCAATGCTGAATCAGCACGGAGGCATGGCTACGGGTTTATCGCCTGCCAAGATGTACACAGGACGTCGCGCTGAAGGTGCAGCTAAGGGGCTTCTTACCACATCCCTTGCAAACTGCAGGATATATGGTCGAGATACTTACGTGCCGAAGGACCTGCTCATTGCCTGCACATGCGTGTGGCAAGAACTACAGCTTCAGGACCTACTCCCTGACGGCATCAAGGCTGAACCTTCTTGACCATAAAGGGTATGCATGGGACTTGTATGGGAATCTCGAGCCTGAAAGGTGTTAGACAGAGCTCGGCACTCGGTTGCGGAGATTTTCAGCAAGGGCGACTGCTTCTTTGACCATCCGCATGCGAGTAGCCAAAGGTGATTTTCAAAATTGGCCTCAGCAAGAAGGGTCATCCACAAGTGACGCAGATCAGACGGGAGTGGCGCTCAGCAGACAGCCAACTTTCTTTGTACTGATGAGACAGCTCAAAGTCAGGCTCTGGCTCCGTCGGAGTCGACCGAAGATTGATTCACCTTGCGCTTTCGCTGTCGCTTTATTGCTTTCGGCTGTGAGCCCCAGCGCATCCTCATGACAAACTCGGAGAGCACTCGCAAGTAAGCGGGACAACTACGAGGAGTCGCTTCTACCGTAGGACTTGTAGGTGTTTCACGGGGATGTGAAGAGACCACGTTGCGGCCTCATTGCGACCCAGTGAAAAATCCTGAACGCCTTGTGCATGTTAGAGGAAGTCTTGTTCTCTTTGTCGAGCTGACTTGGCTTGAGCAAGATAAATGCGTCCCGATGGCACATTCTAGCGCCCCGAGATTAAGCTGTGGATTTCATTTGGAATTTGGCCTTCTCGTTGGGACTGTTTTACGCCGTTACGCATTGCAAATCACACTGACGTTGGAAGATCAAGCTGACTCCTCTAGCTCTTAGTCTGTCTTTGCACCTCATGATAGGGAAGCAAAGGGATGCATCTTCTGAGTGCTGTCTTGCGTGACGAGCGCCGTCTTCGGCAGCACCCATGGCACGCATTCCTGCTGGTTCCCTGACACAGGCGCTTCGAGGCATGACAAGTGGTACATGTGGCACCAAGTGAATGATTTCTGCCCAGTAGATCACTCTGTTGCAAACGAAGCAGAGGTCCAGATGCTAGCAATGATGTGCTGTGCTGTGGCTCTGCAAGCTTTACGCATGCTCGTCTGGTGGCAGTCTTTGTCATTTGAATAGCCACTACAAGTAGAGCCGGAAGGCATGGAATGGCATGGACAGCCGTATGGTCGTGTGAGGTCTTGAAAACCTGTTTTTCATGTGCGCATGCTGAGACATGCTGCGATGCCCTCCACGTGGGCACTCCTTTGCCTGTTCTCGAGAACACACGTGCAGTGACGTATCTTGTCGGTTCGCATCATCCATTTGTCCGCTCAAGGTCTTGTAAGTGGTAACATGCAGTGATGGCGTGATATTAATTTTAGAATTGACAACCTCGTGTATAATTTCTGCAGGCCGCACACACCCGGACAAAGAAGTGCACAACAACTCGCAGGAATTGTTACTTGCTACTACAGGCAAGAGCATAACTTACAAGGGCCTCCTGCCACGAGTTTCCTGGGACTGCTCCAGTGAAGCCAGAAAGCCTACCCAATGCAGTCTTGCGCAGTCTTGCTGCCGGTGAGCTTCGAAGAGATTGCAGTGCAGAAGGAGGCAGCCCACCCAACTGCCAGGGGGAGAGAAGGGAAGCCTGTACAAGGAATGAGACGCAGTGACACAAAGCTCGTCCATGTCATGGAATTTATGCGTGAATGCGGCTACGTAGACACACCTTACCTTAAGATATCTATTCTTAAGATCTTTCTGGTGATGACCCGTGCAAGGAGCCGGTCGATAACTTTTGGGTCAAGGATCGCTGTCATTGTGTCAAGAGCAGTGCTGTGTTTTGAAGTCATTAGACATCGCAAAATTCTCAGAGGAGACCAAAGGCTACGACCTGAGCCCCTATGCAGACGAGCTACCACTGTGTGAGGCCATCCTGCACATGTCAGCATGAACATCGTTGGCCAGCCCGGCGTGCAGCTGCCTTGCACTTTGGAGCCGGCCGGCAGGACTTGGATCCTGCGACAGTTGGGAATGGGGGCTCGTGCTGGAGCACTTGCCAAGGGCCGGACTCCCCAGACCAGGCTTCAAGGCGAGGCCTTGCAATCAGTTGACTTAAAGGCAGTGTCCGAATGATGTACTTCAGCCTGGGCCGGATGCTTGGACAAGAGCACGGCAGACAGTCACAAGGCAAGCAACATCAACCTGAGTTCAGGTTAGCGTTTGACTTCGATGAAATCAGACCTGGGCATCCAGGACTTGCTAAAGACAATCTCAAGTGATTAGCTGAAAACAAAAAGCTGCGAAGTGCTAGACAACCGGTGTCAAAGCACGGGGTGGAGATCAAAGAGAGCCTTCAATGCAAACATGGCAAGGATGCACCTCGCATTTCGAGTGTGTGGGGAACTTTGTCCGAGCCTGAGCCATTTCCGCCCGTGAGGGGCTGTTGTGGCTTCCCCGGTAGTAATTTCCGGTACCCCCCCCCATGGATCCACCGATTTTGGGCTGAAAGGCTTGTTTGGCTTTACGAGCGTTACACAGCACACAATCGGTGGATCCATGGAGGGGG